TTAAATTTCCAGTCTCATATTAATGAAGTGTGTAAATCAGCAACCAAAACTTGAGGATTTATCTATCGTACTACTAAAAACTTTCAAAATATATCTCGCCCACTACTCTGTATAACTCCCTGGTACGATCGCTATTAGATTACGCATCAGTAGTATGGTCACCGATATACCAAATACATATTCAACGTCTGGAACAGGTTCAACGTAGATTTCTCAAGTTGCTATCCTTTAGAGCTGATGGCGTCTATCCACAGCGGGGTATAGATCAGCAGTTACTGCTTGACAGGTGGAGCTTTTCTTCGCTCAGAGAACTGCCACTTCGCTCATCATTAATATTTCTGTTTAAAATTTCCAACAATACGATGGACTGTGCATTTCTCTTGAGCGAATTAAACTGGCACGTTCCACTGGTCACAACTAGATATCAGTATACTTTCCGCCTCCAAACACTTCGTACCTGCAATGCCACCAAAGCCCCGCTCTATAGATGCTGTCACAACCTTAATAATATTGCTCTCCACTACATACTGGATCTGTTTCAGAACTCACTAGCATCCTTCAAGAAGGTACTGGATGATATACTAGACATTCACAGAAGAACGGTACTCATAGTAACGTGACGAAGAATTTAAATATATTTCATATCATTATTTTTTTTATATATTATGTTATTATTATTTATATCTTAATATTTCTATTATTAATTGTCTTTTGTTTGGGTGTATACCTGTTGGACAATAAATGTATTATTTATTTATTTATTTATTTATTAGTTAGACCCATTGGTTGTCTATTGTTGACTATGCTAATTTCCTAATATTATGGTTCTCAAGCGTGGTTTTCTTCTAGATCTCTTGATTCCTCGTCCCCACCGTTCTGTAATTCTGTAATTTTTGTGGTCAATCTGTTGTCCATCCTTCTTGCCAGGTGTCCTGCCCATTTCCACTTGTGGATGACCTCTATTACCTGTGTCTTTTGTCTTATCCACTCTGTTCTTTTAGGGTCATTCTTAGTTATTCCCAGCAAATTGAGTTTCATTGAGCATTGTGCGACCTGCAGTTTCCTTATAATGCCCATTTTAAGTGTCCAGGTTCCGGATGCATAGGTCATGATTGGTAGTACACATTAGATGAATGTTTTCTTCTTTAGATAAAGTGGCATTCTAGAATTGAATATGATTGAGTTTTTTTCCATAAGTACTCCATGCTAACTTCTTCTTAAGGTGCCGTGCAGATTCCTGCGTAGGCGTTCATCTTTTTCTTCCTCATCAGATGGTTCTGTTAACTGCCGCGACTTGGAGTGCTTGGGAGTCCTGTATGCCTGTCCAATGACGAATATTTCTCAGCCAGGATAGCTTCCTTCGTCCTATTCCCTTGCCACCCTCTATTTTACCCTGGAGAATCAGACGCTGAAAGTGATAGCGTTCTCCACGCAGTATGTGTCCCAAATAGGCTATTTTTCTCTTCTTGATGATTTCGAAGAGTTCACGTTGTTCCAGACCAGCTCCTCTGAGAATGTCTTCATTCGACCCAGGGCACTCTTAGCATTCGTCGTAGGGTCCACATTTCGAAGGCTTCAATTCGGTTTATTGTTGCTACCTTCAGTGTCCATGCTTCCACACCTTATAACAAAACGGACCAGACATAGCATTCTGTATCTAAGGCCGAAGTTCAAATTCCTATCTGTGAGAAATCTTCGCAGTCTCAGAAAAGTAGGATCCTGCATTTGATCTCCTGATCCGGATCCCACGTTTCGTTAACCATGCATCCCAAATATTTAAATTGTGTGACCTGCTTGATGACCTCTCCATTTAAGTAAATTCCGGTGTTCGGAATATTGTTTCTGCTAACAGCCATAAATTTCGTTTTTGTAGTATTTATGTTTAAACCCAGTCTTTGACTTTCACTGTTAACCTTATTTAGAAGGATTTGGAGATCATTTACATTGTCTGCCAATATCACTGTGTCTTCCGCATATCGGATATTATTAATTGGAATGCCATTTATTTTCAAACCAATGGGACTATCGGAGATTGACTCAGTGAATGCTCTTTCCACATATAAATTGAACAACATTGGAGACAGAATACACCCTTGCCTTACCCCCTTTTTATTTCAAAATCTTCTGTTACTCCCACGCTATGTATACGAATTTCAGCTTTTTGGTTCCAATACAAATTATTTTACATCAAGTCCCAACTCTCTGAGGTATGATATAAGGAGGTTATGTTTAACATTATCGAACGCCTTTTCATAGTCTATAAAGCACATGAAGACATCTTTTCTCTGATCTTGGCAATTCTGTACTAAAGTCAGCAAACGGTTCCTCGTGTATCGTATGCTTCCTGGTTTCTGTTTCATGGGATCGAATTCATCGTTTGCCGATTCCTTACCGTACTGATGATGCTGGAAGGCGTTACACTGGTAGTTATGGTTTACACTGGTGACTGGTGTAACTAGAGAAGAATCTAAGTTTCTTCTTATGACATAGTCCTAATAGCCAATAGTCCTGAAGAACTACAAACACAAATTAACGAACTAAATACAACCAGCAATAAATTAGCTTTCAAAATGAATTTAACAAAAACTAAAGTAATGTTATATTAGGTTACAACAAACTAGTAGACAGAAAAGACATTCTAATAAATAACACAAAACTGGAAATAGTAGAAGAATACATATATCTGGGACAAATAATCCACAGCTCGGGATATCTACTACCAGGAATCAACCGAAGAATAAAGTTAGCATGGAATACTTATGGAAGAAACTCCATTATATTCAAATCTGAAAAGCCACTTAATGATGTTATCCACAGAATCAAATCCCTGAAGTGGCAATGGACAAGACTCTTGGCAAAAAAGACGGACGACAGATGGACCACAAAAATTACAGAATGGTGGGTACGAGGAATTAAGAGACCTAGGAGAAGACCACACTTGAGAGGGAACCATAATGTTAGGAAATTAGCATAACCAACAACAATAGAGACCATAATTGGAAATGGTTAAATAAGCTGAGAATGATGATGACGATGATACTGATGTATACGTTACGAGTTTGTTGAGGGCTACGCCGTTTATGTTTCCTTCATTTTTGTAAATTTCCCCTCATTATTTTCAACCTTTATTTTAACTACCTAGTCTATTTTATGACGGTAAGAAACTACATGATATAAAGGACATATTTTACTAAAATTACAACATAAAGAATATGGTAAGGCATTATTAGTTGAGTATTATGAATAAATATTACGTATATGGCATATTAAATTGACCTATGAATATTTACTTATACATTAGCTATACAGGGTGGTCCGAACTGTATTCCGGAAACTTCGGCAGCATGTTCTGCAGATAAAAATAAGTAAAAAAGTTCATATATAGGTATGTTCTAAAATGCTTAGTTTCGGAGATACAGGGTGTAGAAGTTTCATTTTTATTTCAATTTTTTCCAAATAATTTCTGAAGTAACGTCAATATTTGGATGAAAATTGGGGGCGTTATCATAACGGGATGGGTTTGCACATATCTAAAAGCTTGCATTATTAAAGCATTTTCCAGGTGTTCGACATTGTGTTAGTTGCCACGATATATTTCATATTTTAAAAATCCCAAAATCAAAAATCGAGAACGGACAAATCCGGGAATAAGGGAGGCCATCATATGGACCCATTGGTCCGATTCATTGATTTGAGAAATAATAAAAAAAATTCTAATATTTTCGTTGTAAGTTAAGTTGTGAGGGGGAGCCCCATCTTGCTGAAAGTATATTATACGTAAATTAGCCAAAGGAATATTTAAAAGGCCCGATACGATAGCTTCCAAGATTTACAAACAGCGGAAGAGAGTTAAGTTTCCCTAATATATAAAGAATTTATTAGTGGCTAATATTTTCAAAGTGGTGGGGGGGGGGGAGCTCCATCTTGCTGACATTATATTTCACGTAAATTAGCTAAAGGAATATCTAGATGTTCCGGTACGATAGATTCCAAAATTTACAAATAGCGGTAGAGAGTTAAGTTTCCCTAATATAAAGGATATATTAGTGGCTCCCAAAATACAACAAGAGGCAGATAGCCGTATACTTTTAATAATTCTTTAGTTTCTTTTATTATCTATCATGGCCTACTAATAAATTTGATCTGTTCATATTTTTTTTTAATATTCCACTAAATAGTGAAAATAAATTTACAGTGATATATATTTTTGAGAAGCTTGTCGCATGCCAGATCATATAATTTATAAATATACCGGGTGTTCCATTTAAGAAAACATAACTTTAGTTAATATTTTTAAAAATATTATTTTTGTAGAATAACAGACTACGCCACTGTATTCCATGTAAATAGTTCTACAATAAACAGTTTTCACGTTCTCGATACCTTTAACAGTAACAGAGATACAGGGGGTGTCCCAAATTGCAAAATTTTTAAAAAGACCCTGTAGCTCAGAAACGAGCAGGGCTATGAAAATTTTGTTTACGGCATCTTTCATTTGACAAAAAAGTGGCACAGGTTTGTGTAAACCGCATCCTTCTATCTTCACGAATAACGGATTTCAACCAAAACGGGACACCCTGTACTGTACTACTAAAAATATTTGCACTTAGTTAAAACTCACCCTGTATATTCGAAAGACGGAGTGTAATTCTACTTCTATCACCGAAGAAGTTTGTAAATATCCACTGCAGAAATTTTCAGTTTATGTTAAAATATTATTAAATACGGTGTAAAATATTGAAAAAAAGAACATTCGGAAAATCATTTTAGAATTACGATTTTTGACATAATTAAAAAATGTAATGAGTTTTTCCATATTTCTACACCTATATCTCTAATTTCCTCCTTATAGTATGCCTATTTCATAAACATTTGTAAAAAGTTACAAAAATAACCAACTAACTCTAAAAAACCAAAAACAATGAAATAAAATTATATCGAAAAATTCATGTAGACTTAGTATAAATTATTTACGATTTAAAGCTATATTAAGGACTCACCCATAAAGGCAGCGGGAATAGATGTCAAAAATATTTTCTGGCTTCGAACGGGGACGCCCCCGGATTCTGTGTTTTTCATTTCTCTCACCAACGCTTCCATCTGTAAAAAAGTTATAATTAATATGATTAGAAATGAAAACAAAAGAGTTAAGAAATTAGCTGTGGATGAAATGAAAAACAGTAAATTACAAGTTATTATACTGGAAATTTTATGATATTGTAGCGTTTTTTTTATAAACATTACCACTGCGAACGGCAGATTTTCATCGGAGAGCAGTCGTGGATAAGGTATTTCACTGGAAAGAAAACTAATTAATAACAATAAACCAAAAAAATAGATATTAGGCGCCAGGCATGTACAGAGAAAGAAAACACAGTTGTATATTACTTAAAACTAATGGCTATATTTATTCATGACGAATTCTGATGGTAAATAGCATTGTACAATTTTAATAATTATTATAGTGGTTAAATTCTATTACAAGGCGTAATGTAATGAAACCTAAGATCTAAATCATATTTTAAATATTAAATCGACATGAATGTTCTTAACAATATAATCACTAAACATAGTCCGCACGATATTACTTAAGATGTACGTTATTGTTTAAGACTGAAAATGTTTTAGATGTTAAATGTAAAACTAGAACTTAAATCTACACTTAGCTGTTCTTTATGTAATCCTGCTTCAAACAGTAACAGCGTGAGGTGGTCTCGCATGTACTCGGCCATCCAATACAACAAAAGGGGGCCAGAATGAGAACACCATGAATTGATACAGCCGTAACTACTGACTAGACTGAGAAATGGGAACGAAGCAGCATGGGGCTTACGCTACATCCATACATGTGGCAATATGGAGACACTACCCGTACCTTGGAACACTACTAGGACCTTGGATAATGCCCGAACCTTGGAATCAATACATAGATATGGGACACCTGCCCATACCTTGGACACAGTTCGTCCATAAGATAACGGTACAGGGGAACACTACCCGTACCTTGGACACAGTCCGTCCATAAGACAATGTACGTCCATAAGATAATGTACGTCCATAAGACCCAACAACAACAACCAAACAAGGTCTAATAAACAAAATAAACCTACCTCGAAACACTTCCGAGGGTTCAATAATAAACAAAAGAACTGTCCTTTCTTCCATTTAACATTCTGGAGGACAACAGCAAAAGTACACCAACGTGTCAGCAAAATACAAATACGAGTTAAGGTGGGTCAATCCAAAACTCTACCCTAAAAATATTCAATAACAATATCGAATCTATAAAAGATAATAGCTCATCTTTACCTGTTGCTTCGAAATGGCAGCTGATTCAGATTTTGCAGCAAGATTTAAATTATTACCATTTCTAAAAGCCGGGTGAACAAAAGTGAGGTTAAGCGCGGAGAGCGACCTAACCTTGGAGCGATGTTGACAGCGCCTCCACAGAGCAGTGAAACGATAACAGGGTTGGCGACTAGGGAACGTAAAAATTACGCCAAGCGTGCCAAATAAATTATCAGGCCTGAACGATACGGAATCCGATGACGATACGCCAGTTATCATATAAATCATATATAAAAAATACATGTAACGAACTAAAAACGTTACAATATTCAAGTGGATATTACTTATTTTTAATTTTATATCTTTAGAATTACAATGCATATAGCCAAGGAAATCAAATTTCACATAATCGTCTACATATAATCCAATGTGATTACATTTCAGTATCAAAATCTTTATAATACAGTTTATTTATTACACTCTATATAATACAGTAAAAGTAAGTTATCACCATTTTTTTTCTGATTTCGAAATATATCACACATGCGTTTTTTAATATGTTGTATTATTTAAATTTAATAAAAATATGTAAGTAGGTATATTGTCCATCTATATAAATCCATCCATATAACATTGACAGCATGTGCTATTTTTGTTAGGAACTAGAATTTGAAAAAAAAACATTTAATTTGTTTCCATTGAATGTTTTAGCTCCAAAAATGTAAAAGTTAAAACCCGTTAAAAGTGTGTCAAAATAAAATTTTCTAATATTGTATGTTTTTTCATCGTAGAGTGTACTGAATATAAATTAACACAAAAAGCTGAATAGCTTATTAGATCGTCTAACAAGCCCTAATTTTGCTAATTAAGCAATGTGACAGAAATATACGGTAATTACTCCAAAAATTGAACTAAACCAAAATCAACGCCTCCCACGTTGAAGGCCGTACGTCGAACCTTGTTAATTACATTTTTCGTATACTGGATCGATCGCCTGAATAAACAGGTGAATTTCAGAATTTCGCTATGAAGTAAACATATATTTATACCACTAATAAATCAGTATATATTAAAGGAACTAACACATATATTTAAGACATCTAAATTCGTATAAATAAATATCTACAAGGGCGCAACTACACACAGACTTTTTTAGGGGAGCTCAAGTCTTTTGGGAGGGCTTAGGTCACTATAAGATAATATTGATTTGAGGTTAAAACCAATTTTATTCGACACCCAATTTTATCCGACACCCTTTCACGTACCAGTAATCTGGGGGGGGATCCCCCTACCCCCTTGTTGCACCCCTATGTATCTAACCCCACTATAGCTGCAGGAATATAATTTACAGTTTGCTAAGGTATTATTATCCATTAAGTATGTTACGATAGATTCCATGTGTCTCCTCAATGAAGCTAAAAAGGTTGGAACATTTGGTGTTACAACAGCAAAATAAAACACCAATTCACCACAATACACCAAAACACTTTTACTTTTGCACTGGACGCGTGTTTTGCTAATCATGTTAGCATCATTAGCAGATTACAGTTGAGTGTTGGAACCTTTGGTGTTACACAGCAAAATAAAACACTAAATCACCACCATCACAAAATCACCATCAGCAGATGATTAAGACTGTCATCATTCAGTCTTAATCATCTGCTGATGATGCTGACATGGTTAGCGAAACGCGCGTCCAGTGTAAAAGTAAAAGTGTTTTGGTGAATTGTGGTGATTTAGTGTTTTATTTTGATCATTAGCAGATGATTAAAACTAAGGTTTGGTGTATTGTGATGAATTAGTATTTTATTTTGCTTTGTACTGTTGTGTACTTTGTGCTTTGTACTGTTGTGTACTTTGTGCTTTGTACTGTTGTGTTACAGTTATATTTCCATTGCTATAGTTTATTTTATTAATTTAATAAGGAGTGAATTTAATAACAACTTAAATTGTATTTTATTCAATCTAAATTCTGATCCATCGTTAGATTATTTATTATTTACTTCGAGTACTAATCATGTTTTTAATCTATCTTAATTTCATTTTACTTAACTTCGATCCGTGGTTATTTCCAATTTTACATTAATTTCCACCAGAAACCAACAGAAGATAAATAAAAAATTTAAACGCCTAAGTTAGCATGGAGTACTTATGAAGAAACTCAATCATATTAAAATCTAGAATGCCACTTTATCTATATAAAGAAAAAAACATTCGACCAATGTGTACTACCAGTGATGACCTATTCATGCGAAATCTGGACACTTAGAACGGACATCATAAGGAAACTGTAGGTCGCACAACGCTTATTAAATGGAAAGAAATATGCTGGGAATAACCAAGAGGGTCTGTAAAAGAGGAGAGTGGATACGACAAAAGACCAAGGTAATAGATGGTCAACCATAGAGTCAAATCCCTCAAGTGGCAATGGGCAGGACACTTGGCAAGAAGGACGGACAACAAAAGGACCATAAAAATGAAGACCGAACCTGAGATGGGACCTAAAAGAAGACCGAACCTGAGATGGGAACATGATATTAGGAAATTAGCAGGGATAACTTGGGTCCGCATAGCCAACAATAGACAACAATGGGCCCAACTACAAACAGAGTACCTAAATATGTCTGGGAGACTACACCATAATTGTAAATGATTGAATAAGCTGAAAATGATGATGACATTATTTTTTTTTGTAATTATTTTAACTTCAATATTTCATATGTCGACATCAATCATCAACCAACCTATTTATGAAGATAAAGTTAAAATAGACAAGTAAAAGAGTATGAGTACAAATCACCACATCCCGGAAAAGGACAGCAGTATAGTAAAAAAAATCTAATTCATTTTTTTCATCGCAAAGTGTACTAAATACAAAATATATATAGCTGAATAGCTTGTTAGATCGGGATAACAAGCCCCAATTTTGTTAATTAAGCAATGTTACAGAAATATACAATAATTACTCCAAAAATCGTGCTAAATCAAAGTGAACGCCTCCCACTCCGAAGGCCGTACGTCAAGCTTTGTTAATTACATTTTTTGTACACTTGATCGATCGCCGTAATAAACAAGCGAGTTCCAAAATTTCTCCACGTAGTAAACACACTGGAACAATTCGAAGCCATCTTCTAGTTTAAATCGCTAAGGTAATGGACTACTGCAGCTCTGTAAATATGTAGCAAAGTGTAAAACTTCCTTTAGGCGAAGAGAAAGTTTTACATTGCTCAAACTGTATCTTTGGTTCTAAAAGCATTTTGATTTTTTACCCAAGCCCTTGGAACCCTCCTCTTTGACCCGAGCTTTGCTAAGGTTTACGTAAGACCGGTTATGGGTTGCGCGATAGAAACTAGAGCGGGAGCACAATAACAAAACGACTTCTAAGAATAACTGAAATGCGAACTTCTTCTTCACGTGCCTTCTCCTCATCGGTGGCGATATCCAACTGGAGTTCCTCTCTTCACTCTAATATAGACGAGATGTGATACACGAGCAAACCAACACGAACAATAACAAATGTATGGTCATATTCACTTCGTTGTGAATACCCGTATTCAGAGATGTACGTTATATGATATGATGTTTCAAAATACCTCATAAAAAGTATCTGAAATATAAGTTACAAAATACTCTTGTAAAAGTTATTTGAAATAATATAGATATAATATAAGATATTTAACTTATTACATTAATAAGAATTATGAACAAGAATCGTGTAAATCTGAGAAGGTCTTTATTACTTAAATATTGAAAGAGAATAACGAGAATAAATAAGAAAGAAAAAAGTAACGAAAGTCTTCTAGCTACACTTG